GCAAAATGGATGTCAGAAGAGACTCTGAAACTTGCTCTTGAACGTTGAGTAGCTAAAGGGAATGGAAGAAATGATGAAGTAAAGGAGTCAAACAGAAGATTTCAAAGGGCTGCTCCAGAAGACAAAGTATTATAATGACATGTGCAAAGACCTGGAGATGGAAAACCAAAAGGGAAGAACACAGTCTGCATTTCTTAAGCTGAAAGAACTGAGGAAAAATTCACACCTCGAGTTGCAATATTGAAGGATTCTACAGGGAAAACAGTCAACGATGCAGGAAGCATCAAAAGAAGATAGAAGGAATATACAGAGTCACTATACCAAAAAGAATTGGTTGACGTTCAGCCATTTTAGGAGGAACCATATGAGCAGGAACCAATGGTACTGAAGGAAGAAGTCCAAGCTGCACTGAAGGCATTGACAAAAAACAAGGTTCCAGGAGTTGACAGAATACCAATTGCGATGTTTCAACAAACGGATGCAGCACTGGAGGTACTCACTCCTCTATGCCAAGAAATTTGGAAGACTGCTACCTGGCCAACCGACTGGAAGAGATCTATATTTATGCCTATTCCCAAGAAAGGTGATCCCGCCGAATGCAGAAATTATCAAGCAATATCATTATTATCACACACAAGTAGAATTTTGCTGAAGATCATTCAAAAGCAGCTGCAGCAACATATTGACAGGGAACTGCCAGAAATTCAAACGAGATTCAGAAGAGGATGTAGAACCAGAGATATTACTGATGTCAGATGGATCCTGGCTGAAAGCAGAGAATACCAGAAAGGTGTTTACCTGTGTTTTATTGACTATTCAAAGGCATTCGCCTGTGTGAATCATAACAAATTATTGCAAATGGGAATTCCAGAACACTTAATTGTGCTCATGAGTAAACTGTACATAGATCAAGAGGCAGTCGTTTGAAAAGAGCAAGGGGATACTGTGTGGTTTAAAGTCAGGAAAGGTGTGCTTGAGGGTTGTATCCTTTCACCATACTTGTTCAATCTGTATGCTGAGCAAATAATCTGAGAGGCTGGACTTTATGAAAAAGAACGTAGGATCAGGGTTGGAGGAAGACTCATTAACAACCTGCATTATGCAGATGACACAGCCTTGCTTGCTGAAAGTGAAAAGGACTTGAAGCACTTACAGATGAAGATCAAAGACCACAGCCTTCAGTATGGATTACACCTCAACATAAAGACAACAAAAATCCTCACAACTGGACCAATAAGCAACCTGATGATAGACAGAGAAAAGACTGAAGTTGTCAAGAATTTCATTTTACTTGGATCCACAATCAATACCCATGGAAGCAGCAGTCAAGAAATCAAAAGACACATTGCATTGGGCAAATCTGCTGCAAAAGACCTCTTTCAAGTGTTGAAAAACAAAGATGTTACCTTGAAGACTAAGGTGTGCCTGACCCAAGTCATAGTGTTTTCAATCGCCTCCTATGCATGTGAAAGCTGGACAATGAATAAGGAAGACTGAAGAAGAAATGATGCCTTTGAATTGTGGTGCTGGCGAAGAATATTGAATATGCTGTGGATTGCCAAAAGAACAAACAAATCTGTCTTGAAAG